GGGTGTTAGCTACTATGTTCGCTTAATTGGAATGACAACAAACTTCGGATCTGTGGTCATGATGGTAGTTCACTCTGTAGGGGTTCTCTTGACTCTAGCTCTCGTTCCATGGGATAGGATGAAGGGTCTTTCTAGGGAATCTACTAGGTATGCTTCGGGTGGTTATCGTCTTTTGGAATGCATGCAGTGTCTTTCGCTTTGGTTCTTATCTGTCTAAGGAGGGTTGGTTCACAGCGTGCGATACCCCTCTCCCGGGTACTTTGGAAGGTTTGAGATAAGAGGGACGACTGACGGATCGTATTAGGTTTGATCATTCATATTATGTTTAGGTTCGGAAGAACCTTTATTTGCCGATATGGCTACGGAGAAAGTTCTTTTTACACAGCACTAGGGATGAACACATGGTTGAACGAAGTCAAACCATGATCGATAGAGTCGTCGAAGTTGGCATACTTCGACATGATATATAATGAGGATCGATAGAGTCATGCGCCGAACAGGCACACAAGTTCTAGGCATCTTGGGTTTCGTCCTATGTATCACTGCCGCGAATATTTGGATCGATAGAGTCGACGTGGAACTATAAAGAGTCCTAAGTGTTTCTGAGCAGAGTATCTTTTCATGAATGGATTCACACGAGGCATCTCTATAATAGCCTAACATATACTAGTCATGTATGATTAAGGTGGGGAGGACTGTTGACTGAGCGACCCCACCCTTAATCCACAACCCAACAAGGAACAGGAAATAAGGCGGCATTCACTCACTCTAGGTCTATCCATCTTAACTATACATGGCCGTAACGTATATGTGTTAGCCATTATAGTTTTACTTGATGAATTTTAAATTTTATAACAGTGCTGCGACTTTCACCTTATTGGGGAGGTAATTTACATTTTGAATTAGTCTTTTAAATGTTTTCAGTTTAGTTATCTGAGATCGTAAGATGTACCAAAAATCTACTAGGTTCCTTGATGCTTCTCCCTAAGCATTAGAGCTAGACTCCTCATGTGTCCTTGTCTTTTCCTTCGGTTGGGCAGTCCCTTTTGAAGTGTCCAATCTCACCACATAGACGACAAACTGGATTGGCCGCCAAATTGGTGGTTGGTATAATGAACTCAACCGGGGTTCTGCAGACGCGAGCAGTATGCCCCAACATGTGGCACCTAGCATAATAGAGTTCCCGGCATATACCATGATGATGGTAGCTGCACTTGCTGCAATGGGGAAGGTTTCCTAAGTATGGTCTCCTATGTGAAGGGATGGAAGGGTTGGTAGGGAATTTGACCATCTCAGCTTGTTGCCCTTCGGAAGGTCCTTGAGCCGAGGTACTTTCCTCCTCGATCTTGATCTTTCTCTTCCGTGGATTTGAGTGAGGTTCTTGGGTGGCTGGGGATGCAGAGGTTGGTTGTTGCTGTCCACTAATAGGATCGGAAATCTCGATAGGGCCCTTGCTAACGTTGGCATTGTTAGCATTCAGGTGAGCCATTACAGCTGCTACGGCTGCCGAGACTGCAGCTTGAAACGTAGCTTCATCGAATAGGAGAGTAGGTTTCTTGCTTGTGGACTGGTTACGCTTCTTTGGAGGCATGGTTTTTCCTACACGGAAAGGAACACAAGATAATGAGAGATGATGGCTAACCCCGGACATATCTATCCTGGCTGTATTAGGCATAAATTTTTCCCGTGCCTAGAGTACTGGTTGTTTGAGTGTCGACCTACATCCCTATGATGTAGTCCTGGTGTACAAGGTAAGAGTGTGAGTATCAGAAAAAGGCCATAAGATGGGAGTCGTTCCTACTAAGTTACCTTTATACTGGGAAAGGTTTCACTCTCCGGTCTGGAGAGATTTGAGAACAGTTCAGAACGAAGCCGCGGAAAGAGAGGCTCATGAAGACTTATGGCTAAACAACCTCAACAGAGGTGTGGGGATCCGCTCTAAGCGTATCACTGGCAACGGGAATAAGGTGATTTACCTAACACATAGCGTGAGTAGTGTAACCACTAACTCACTAAATTGTATTATTTTAGGGGTGTATTAGCGTGACGAACACGAGGAAAAAGACACTTCTTGGGTTCCATGTACTGGTTCCCTCTGTCTACCTCGTATCCCTGGCCGAGACCGACGTTGGTTTCCTTCGGGTAGCTACCTAGGGTTCTCTCCTCGTATGGACATATTGCATTTCTACTCCGCCTTCCTTCTGATTCCGACTCTGGGTGTCATCACTTCATGATGGATGACTGGAATCTCGGAAGTTTAAGCGAATTTCTTCACCGGTGTCCCTAAAAGATATAGGCACTTGGTGAATTCAAGTCTCGACCTAGTTCGTTCGTTTCCGAGCTGGAAATCTTCTCAATGAACTTCTTTGGGGTCGGAATCAACTCTTGTATCAAGTAATGAAGTGGATAGGGTTTTCTACTGGGTTCGTGCGAGAATGGAAATGTCTAAAGAATCCTAAGAGATTATTAACATTTCACTAGATGATCCACATCGGGTCCTGCTACGATTACACAGGGTATACAAATCATATATAGCTTAGATTCGATAGGCCTTCGAATATGTGATACTACTCTAGAACCACATCCCAACAAGGAAAAGGAAATAGAGCGAAACCACACATTCTAAGCCTATGGGATCCTTATTATATATAACCTTGGGAGTATACTCTCTGTAAGTGTAGGTATATCAATGAGGATCTTTTTAGTTCTTCACACAAGGTTAGTTATGGATCCTAAAATACCCCTATGGTATTTTAATTCTTTGTTTGTATCCTTATCTTCTTAATATGATTCTGGGATTAATGTGAGTCTTTTAGTGTTCTAAAATACTCCTATAGTATATTAAACTTTATGTTTGGCTCTAGCATTCCTAGTTGGTAAGTTTCAGACCTGTTGCAACACCAGTATCACTCCCAAACACACGTTCATCGCATCTTGAATAAATGTAGTTGATCAGGTTACATTTATTCCATACTACGATTACATAACTGCCCAGGTTTGACGGTAATGCTCAACATCTGAAGACTTTTATTCTTGTTCTTCTTGTGATACTTGTGTTCGAATGTTTAGATTCTGGATGTTATTATACTTTGGTAAAATATGGTTATATTTTAAAGTATAATTCTTGGTCAGAGTGTTTTATCCCCATGTATTTATAGGTTGCATATCTTTTATGAATTGATATACTTAGCTCACTATAAACAATGCTCTGATACCAATCTGTCACACCCCAAAACCGGAACGGCGGAAACGTTCTGGGGTGGATGACGTTATGTCAAGTATCACAACACATGCATTATAGTAATCAAAGTACAACAAAACATTGCATTAATAGTAATAATTTTACATGGTTCACATTACAATATATCGAAGTAATACAAGTAAATGAAATAAGAACAACATAATTTTACCTGTCTAATGCTGACCTAAGAATACAAGTTATTTGAAAAGCGAGTATCAACATTTTTACAAATGCTGGTGAGTTCATAACTAATTAGTGACATTTTATTCAAATAACTTTATAATGTAGTAGTTTAAGAGTTTACAATGTATTAGAGTTCTTTCCAGAAAATCCTATATTTTCTTTAATAAAAGCAGTCTTCTACCAAGACTGGACGAAGTTATGTGGTAAAAAGTAGTTTTCCCTTAATCGTTATCATTATCAAAATATAGAATTTGATTGTTAAAAGAAGCAAGAGAAGTCAGGGAAATAACATATGCCTCAGCAGTGAGGACTGCTGACTAAGGCAAATGAATCATAGACTCCAGGAGAGTATCGAACGAACGACACGCCTGGTTCCGTCTAACTAATGGAGACACAGACCCCAGAAGGTACCAAATGAAAGGTACAGCTGGTAAGGTCTAAAACAGTGAATGCAAACCGCAGACAGTATCAAATGAAAGATACATCTTGCAAGGTCAAAACAGAGAATACAGACTGCAGACAGTATCAAATGAAAGATACATCTTGCAAGGTCAAAACAGAGAATACAGACCGCAGACAATATCAAATGAAAGATTCATCTTGCAAGGTCAAACAGTGTGACTCTGAAAATGAGTTACTAGCATACAGTGTAAATTGCCGGTGAAATACCATTACCTTAAGGCCATGAATTATAAGGCAACCTGGGATACTCGTAACCATACTAACCGACACTAGAGTACCTGATGCCCTACAAGCGTCTATAAATTATGACATTTATCACCCCTTGGCTTGGTGGGTCGTGGACTGTAGCTAGCAGTCAGGGTGCGGGGGTGTCAATCCCGTATAGATCTATATACACAATGTCCGCTCTCTCTTAAGGAGACTCTGGTTAGCAACTAGACGATGGAGAAAGCCGTGTCCCGAAGATGCATCCCAAATAGTGAGTAGTGGGTTTCATATGTAAGTGCTAAACTAGAGGTAGAGACTCATAACTGAAGTGACTAGAGTAAACCTATATGTATATGCTCGCATACATAACATACAATTAATGAATCAACGACCTTCGGACGGCCATCCGATCCCAGTAGACGAAGAAAAGGAAATAGGGCGGACAAACCTTCCTAAGTCCTTCAGTCATTATTTATATGCACCTATACAAGTACATACATTCATCCCTTTCTTGAATTATTGCTTATAATTCAGATTTGTATCATTGTTTGGGACGTGATCTCATTCGTGATTTTTGAATTCAATTCAACAGGTCTTGGATTGTTTTCACCGATTTTCAAGTTATAGGTCTAACTTGATCATCATACTATTCTTTGTTACTTTTTCGTGTTATTCCCTTGCAAACCGTTCCAAATATAACCAAAAACAGCCCCATTTGCATTGTTTCTTCTCTATTTGTTATCATTTCGCTGCAATCAGAAACACTCCAAAACAAAACCTCCCATACATGTATCATAAGTGGTATCAGAGCTCAGTTTCGATTGGGTGTTGTTGTGTTCTTGTTTAACAAAAATCCTTGCTAAGTTTGTTTGATTTCACTTCCTGTTCAGAAGTTGTTTGTCCAAAAATGTTGCGCAAGTTATATGATGAAGAAGACATTAAGGAGGAAGAGGAAATTGAAGAAGTGGAGGAAGAAGATTTCGGTCCCATCTATGACACCGATGGGGAAGGGGAATTTGTTGAAAGAATTAATTTAGTGACTGGAGAAGAAATTGTTGAACACTCTAACCCTTTCTATGCCACTGATGGGGAAGACGACCATGAAGAAATTGAAGAAGAAATAAATTTCGTGGTTGGAAACAAAATTGTTGAAACAACTGTGAAAGAAATCGATTTTATTGTTACAAACAAAATTATTGAAGAAAAGGTTGAAGAATCCAAAGAGGTGGAGCAGGTTCTTGACCACGAAGATGTGGTTGTGGTTAAGAAGGATGATGATACTCGTCTTATAGCAAACCGTCTTTCTAAGAACCTAGAAGAAGGAGTGACCCATCAATTTCCAAGTTCCAAGCAATTACGAGGGAGGGAGTTCATAATGCTTGGATTCCTATTCTTGTGGTGTACTTTTAGTTGGGAAGCCATGTTATTGGAACATGTTGTTCATCAACCCACAAGTACAAACCATGATCTATTATTTCATATAACCATTGTTAATCCTTTAAATTATTTCAAGGATAACTTTCTAGGTTCTAATCTTGTTCATGGGAGTGTACGAAAGTGGTTTTTGATCCACAAATGGAAGATATGGTTAGAATTTCATTTGGCGAGTTCTTTTAGTTATTTGAAGAACATGTGTATGTGGAGAAGAGACCAAGTTGGAATAAAGAAAAGATCACATTATGCAATAAAAATTTGTTTTCAAGACTTGCTGTCAGGGAAGGTTCGTATGGGGGAACAACACAATTTGGTTCTTACTGAATTGAGGACAATTCCTTTCGAAGAAGGAGGGAATGATCCGTATATGGATAATGAAGGCCCAAAAGGCTATGGGTAGCTTAATATTGGGCTAGAAAGTTGTTTGGGCTTAATGGCCTATGGGGTATGCATGGTGACATAGTTGATGGATAGTTTTCATAATTAAATTAATAAAAGTTTAATAAATCCAAGACTTCATTTATTGATGGATTCAAAGCTAGGGTGATTATGGAAGCATTTGGAAGGGTATCATTGATGGCTCTCTTTAAACTTTGGGAGTTACACTATTATCATTGATGGATCTCTTTAAACTTTGGGAGTTACACTCTTATCATTGATGGTTCTCTTTAATCCTTGGGAGTTACACTCTACATCTTCTCATAACCAATTACTAGCAATTGAAGACTAATTGAAGACATGGACGTTTTTTTTTTGTCATTCTTAAGTGTGGTAGCTGTTTTTTTGTGTTATTTCAAGAGTTTCCTTAAATTTCATTTACTAGTTTTAATGAATAATTGGTTGGTTGGCTTGTAACCACCATGTTTGTAATAAAGGCTTCATATAAAGCCAAGTATATGCATGGGAAAGTGAATAGACGAATTTTTAAGAAAAAAACCTTTGTTCAATTGGAATTATTGTTATAATTCACAAATTATCTTGTTAGGATGCGTTCTTGACTTGATACGAACTCAATCCAATAGGTCTTGGATTGTTTTCACCGGTATACAACTTAATAGGTCTTGAGTTGTTACTAATCTATCCATTTCTTGCCATTCACATATCATTTGTGGTTGTTATTCTCTCTTAATTTACCTAAAAATTACCCCACTCACTAAATCAAGCCCATACACGTATCATTGGGTGTCCCGGGTAGCGTCTAAAGGTGTTTATGGCCTAGGAATGGAGTTTACTCTCTGAGAGTGATCCATGCATGGATCATGAAAGCCCAAAATGTGATGGATTAGTGATTACTAGTGGGCTAGAAGGTGGTTTGGGCTCAATGGTTGGGTTGTGCATGGTAACCCACAAATTCAATTAAGGTTGCATGAAGACTAGGGCAACATTTTTAAGGCTTCATAAGTGCTAAAAACGTTACTATTTGCTTCATAAAGCCTCCTAGCCGTTTTTGACACTCTTTGGTGGATTAGGGTTACACTTTAATGCTTATAATGACTCCTTAATGCTTCTTATGGCTCCTTAAGCAAGCATAGCCGTTTTTTTTCTCATTCACAAGTCTCATGGACGTTTTTTTTGTGTTCTTTCAAGAGTTACCTTAATTTCTATTTACTAGTTTTAATGAATAATTGGTTGGTTGGCTTGTAACCACCAAATTTGTAATAAAGGCTTCATATAAAGCCAAATTATGCATGGAAAAAGTAATACACGAATTTTAATCAAAGAACCATTATTTTCACCTTGAATTATTGTTATAATTCTCAAATTATCTTGTTGGGACGTGTTCTTGACTTGATACGAACTCAATCCAATAGGTCTTGGATTGTTTTCATCGGTATACAACTTAATAGGTCTTGAGTTGTTACTATACTAATCTATCTATTTCTTTCCATTCACATATCATTTGTGGTTGCTATTCTCTCTTAATTTACCTAAACACTACCCTACTCACTAAATCAAGCCCATACACGCATCATAAGTGGTATCAGAGCGCAGAATGGATTTTGATGATCCAGAGTTCCTACAAAATCTTCGAGAAGCATTAAGAAACATCCAAGAAGGTGGAAATCGAAGGCAACCCCGCCGTGGTGAACATAGGGTTGTGGAAGAATTCAAGGTGTCTGAATTGCCTGACTTTGTTGGTGGAACTGATCCTGAACGCTACTTGGAGTGGGAAAGGAAGATTGAAAGAATGTTCGAGTTCAAAGAAGTGGATGATGAAAAAAGCTGCAAGTATGCCATTCTCAAGCTAAGTGGTGGTGCTTCATTGTGGTTTGAAGGGCTTAAGGCCAAGAGAACCCGTGAAGGCAAAGAAAAAATTTGTTCTTGGCTTTCTCTAAAACGAAAGCTAAGAAAGAGATATGTTCCTTCTACTCATAGAATTGCCACTTACAAGAAGATTGCTGATTTGAGGCAAGGAAAAATGAGTGTTGGAGAATACATTGATGAATTTGAGAAGTTGTCCTTGATGGGGATATTGAAGAAATTGAAGAACAAAAAATGACTCGTTTTCTAAAAGGGTTGAACTACAACATTGCCAATGTTGTGGAGTTGTATCCTTATGCTGATTTTGGAACTCTTTGTGGTTTGTGTTTGAAGTTGGAGGGGCAAGCCAAAGCACGTTATGGTGGGAGTTCAAGTTCAAGTCTCGAAAATCCCAAGTCAAAGTCGTGGTCCAAGCCCGAGTCTAGCAATAGACAAAATTCTGTTTCTACTCCTTCTGGTTCTAGTAGTGTTCCCGTTGCTCCTAAACTTACTAGTGGTACCAAAGAAACTAGTTTGGCGAAAATTAGATGTTTCAAGTGTCAAGGTTTTGGTCATTACCAAAATGCTTGTCCAAACAAAAGGGTGGTGACTTTAAGGGAGGCCATTGAATGTCGTGAAGAGTTGGAGGAAGAAGAGAGGTTGGCGGGTATTTTTTATGATACACAACAAGAAGAGGAAGCAGAGGAGGAGGTAGAGTATGAAGCACCGGTGTATGATACAGTTTTGGTGCTTAGAACCCTTAAAACTCAAGGGGTTCAAACCGTGGCTGATATGGATCAACGAGACCAATTGTTTCACACCAAATGTTTGGTTAGTGACAAGTGGTGTAGTTTGATTATTGATGGTGGAAGTTGTACTAATGTTGCTTCTAATGAAATGGTGACCAAATTGGGTTTGTCTACAACAAACCACCCAAAACCATATGTTCTTCATTGGTTGGATGATGGAAGCAAAATAAAGGTGACAAAACAGGTTAGAGTTGGTCTAACTATGGGGTCTTATGAAGATGAAGTGTTGTGTGATGTTATTCCTATGGATGCATGTCATATTTTGTTGGGGCGTCCTTGGCAATTTGATAGGGACGTGTTACATAGAGGGAGGAGCAATGAATATGAGTTGAAACACAATAATAAAAAAATTGTGTTAAAACCCATGTCCCCAACGGCCATAAGGTCCATGAATTCTAAACAAGTAAAAAAACCTAATCTTTCTATGTTTGCTAGTGAAAGGGAGGTGGAGCAAGTTCTTGACAAAGGTGATGTTATCTACATGCTTGTGGCCAAAGAGCATGCAAAGGTGGAGAAGATGGTGCATGGAGAAAACACTATTGCTGATTTGCTTTTGGAGTTTCAAGATGTGTTTCCAAGCGAATTACCACCGGGTTTGCCTCCAATCCGTGGTATCGAACACCAAATTGACCTTATTCCGGGTGCTCCTTTGCCCAATAAAGCTGCCTATAGATGTAATCCGGAGGTGACAAAAGAGTTGCAAAAACAAATTGATGAACTCATGAAAATGGGTTATGTTCGTGAAAGCCTAAGTCCTTGTGCTGTTCCAGTTTTGTTGGTTCCAAAAAAAGATGGTTCTTGGAGGATGTGTGTTGATAGTAGGGCCGTTAATAACATCACCATAAAATACCGATTTCCTATTCCTAGAGTTGATGATTTGTTGGACGAGTTGCATGGTTCTATTGTGTTCTCAAAAATTGATTTGAGAAGTGGTTACCATCAAATTCGTATGCGTGAAGGGGATGAATGGAAAACAGCCTTTAAAACTAAACATGGCTTGTATGAATGGACCGTAATGCCTTTCGGTCTAACTAACGCACCTAGCACTTTCATGCGACTAATGAATGAAGTGCTAAAATCTTTTTTGGGCAGGTTTGTGGTTGTGTACCTTGATGATATCTTGGTATATAGCAAGAGCTTGGAGGATCATTTGGTGCACTTAAAACAGGTTTTCAAGACGCTTAGAGCTCAAAAACTCTATGGAAAGCAAGAAAAATGTTCGTTTTTAGTGGAAGAAGTGGCATTTTTGGGTTTTGTGGTTTCAAAAAATGGCGTGTCCGTAGACCCATCCAAGACTGAAGCAATCAAGTCATGGCCTATTCCTACTAATATTTCTGAAGTTAGATCATTTCATGGTCTTGCTTCTTTCTATAGAAGATTTGTTCGTGATTTTAGCACCATTGCAAGTCCCATAACAGGTTGTTTGAAGAAAGGAGTCTTTGCATGGGGAGAAGAAGCTCAAAAGGCATTTGAGAAACTCAAGGCATTGTTGTGTGATGCTCCTATTTTGGCTCTTCCTGATTTTTCTCAACCATTTGAAGTGGAGTGTGATGCAAGTGGAGTTGGTATTGGGGCTGTTTTGATCCAATCCAAACGTCCTATTGCTTATTTTTCTGAAAAGTTGGGTGGTGCTCGTTTGAATTATTGCACTTATGATAAGGAGTTTTATGCTATTGTTCGTGCTTTAGATCATTGGAGTCATTATTTGCGTGCAAATCATTTTATTTTGCATTCTGATCATGAATCCTTGAAGTACATCAATGGGCAACAAAAGTTGAGCACAAGACATGCAAAGTGGGTGGAGTTCTTGCAATCCTTTCATTTCTCATGCAAATACAAGGATGGTAAAAGCAATGTGGTGGCTGATGCACTCTCGAGGCGTTACTCATTGTTGGTGACTTTGGATGTTCGTTTCTTGGGATTTGAAACTCTAAAGGACCATTATCAATCTGATATGGACTTTGGAGATATGTTTTTGAAATGTGCAGGTGGTCCTAATGGTGAATTTGTAATTCAAGATGGCTTTCTATTCAAAGGCAATCGCCTTTGTGTCCCAAAACATGCAATACGGGAGTTGTTGATTCGTGAAGCTCATGGCGGTGGTTTGGCTGGTCATTTTGGCATTACCAAAACTTTGCAGGTGCTTAAAGAACATTTCTTTTGGCCGAAGATGTTGGGGGATGTAACCAACATAGTGGGCAAGTGTGTTACATGTCATATGGCGAAAACAACTTTCAAGCATGGTGTTTACACTCCTTTGCCGGTTCCTATTTGTCCTTGGGAAGATGTGTCCATGGATTTCATTATGGCTTTGCCTAGAACTCAAAGGGGGAAGGATTCCATTATGGTG